TGGCCCGTCTGGCTGAAGCTGGACGCGTAGTCCTTGTTGGAGTCTATGGCACTGAAGTCCATCTGCTCAAGGGTAGTGCTGGGACTCAGGCCACCGCCCGACGGCAGGAGGCTGGACCCTGCGGTCAGGGTGAGGGAACTGGACGCCGCAGCTGCCGCTGAGGAGGAGTATGCCGCCTCTTTGGCCATCTGCTGCTCAAAGGAGGTGTCTTCGGTCTTGATCTCCTTGGTGAGGACGCTGGTGAAGCCAAAAACCCTCTCTGAAGGCGGCGAGTGCCGGATATTGGTGCTAACCATCTCAGTTTTTATGCCCCCACCCCCGTACGTCTGGCCCTGCTTTGGATTGTTGAGGAAACAGTCGGGGTCAAAGTTCATGGTGGTTTCTGAAATCTTCCGGCCACCATCAAGGGTGGTGGAGAGGACCAGCTCTTCGGACACATTGCCGGGCAGCATGGACAGGCTGTCTGAGCTGCCCGTGGTGGGGAAGGCAAACTTGTGGCCGTCAGAACTCACAGCCAGTACAAGGCCCTGAGAGGCATCAGGCGAGAGGAGGTGGTGGTTGGGGCCGGCGGTGGGGGACATGGTGTACACGGCCTCATTAGTGACCTCAGACATGAACACTGTGGCACTTTGGGACAGTCCCCCCATCACAGAGGCCACTGCCATGCTGGACACACCTGTGACAACTGGGCTGTCGACCATGTCTGGGTCGCTGTTGAGTCCGCTGCTGATGGACACCGGGGAGCTCTGGGTGGTGTCAGGGACCTCCACCTGGTTGGTGGAGGAAACCTCCGTGCTGTTCTGGTGCAGCAGCGCTGGCTTGGCCACCTTGCCATTCCTCTTTTCCCGGCTTGTGCCCCTGCCGTGGCTGGGCTCGTGCTTGCCCTCTGACACGTCGTTGTGTTGCACCTCCGAGTGGCCCCCGTAGCCCCCAGCCCGTGGCTCCACCTTCGGTGAGATGATTCTGTGTTTGGCACTGTTACACTTATGATGCACGCTGCTGCCCGCTCCTGTGGAGAAGGGAGTACAACACACACACATGCATACATATGCACACATGCACACACACATACACAGAGGCATACATATGCACACATGCACACACACAGAGGCATACATATGCACATATGCACACACACACAGGCATACATATGCACATATGTATACACACAGACATACATATGCGCACATGTACACACACAAGCATACATATGCACACATGTACACACACACAGCATACATATGCACACATGTACACACACAGCATACATATGCACACATACATACACACACAGGCATACATATGCACACATACACACACACAGAGGCATACATATGCGCACATGTACACACACAAGCATACATATGCACACATGTACACACACAGCATACATATGCACACATGTACACACACAAGCATACATATGCACACATGCACACATACATACACACACAGGCATACATATGCACACATACACACACACAAAGGCACACACACAGAGGCATACATATGCACACATACACACACACAAAGGCACACACACAGAGGCATACATATGCACACATGTATACAAACACATACACACACAGGCATACATATGCACACATGTACACACACACAAAGGCACACACACAGAGGCATACATATGCACACATATACACACACACAAAGGCACACACACAGAGGCATACATATGCACACATGTATACAAACACATACACACACAGGCATACATATGCACACATGTACACACACAAACGCACACACACAGGCATTACATATGCACACATATACACACACACAAAGGCACACACACAGACATACATATGCACACATGCACACACACATACACACACAGGCATACATATGCACACATGTACACACAAAGGCACACACACAGGCATACATATGCACACACACACATACACACACAGGCATACACATGTACACATATATACACAGGCATACATATGCACACATGTACACACACAGGCATACATATGCACACATATACACACAGGCATACATATACACACATGTATACACAAGAAACATACATATGTACACGAGTACACACACATACACACATACATACACACACACAGACACACACAGACATAAAGTCAGAGCTGGGACTTTGGCTAATTTCTTCCCCAAGAGCTAGAACCCTTTGCTAAGTCCCCATCCAGACCCCAGGCAGGACAGACCACAATCCTTAGACACTTGGCATCTACTCCTAGACCAGGAGCTCTGCCATGCCCTATGTGACCATCCTGCAATGGCCAAATGTCTTGATCCTGTTGCACTTTTTCAAGAGTGGCAGGATGTGGCTTGGTTGCAAAGCGCTGTCACCTCCTGAGCCTTCTGTCATCCCAACGTGAAGGTATTTGAGGTGACCCTCAGTTAAGCCAGGACCTGTCCTCAACTCTTTGGGTGTGGTGATCTTTTGCTTATGATCCAGCAAATAAAGCTTGCCTGAAGATCAGAGTGCAAAGCAGCCACACTAGAGAGTTCTCACCTTGTTCTCACCTTTACCCGTGCTCAAACCAAAGGGGAGACCCACTGAGCCTCACTCAGACTGCACTGCTCTCCACCAAACCTCAGACTCACTGAGCTCCTGTCTCCTGTGCTCAAACCAAGGGGAGTAGACCCACTGAGCCTCACTCAGACTGCACTGCTCTCCACCAAACCTCAGACTCACTGAGCTCCTGTCTCCCGTGCTCAAACCAAAGGGGAGACCCACTGAGCCTCACTCAGACTGCACTGCTCTCCACCAAACCTCAGACTCACTGAGCTCCTGTCTCCCGTGCTCAAACCAAAGGGGAGACCCACTGAGCCTCACTCAGACTGCACTGCTCTCCACCAAACCTCAGACTCACTGAGCTCCTGTCTCCCGTGCTCAAACCAAGGGGAGTAGACCCACTGAGCCTCACTCAGACTGCACTGCTCTCCACCAAACCTCAGACTCACTGAGCTCCTGTCTCCCGTGCTCAAACCAAAGGGGAGACCCACTGAGCCTCACTCAGACTGCACTGCTCTCAGACTCACTGAGCTCCTGTCTCCTCCCGCCTTATATTCCTCTCTAATGCTGGGATTAAAGGAGTGTGACTCCCAAGTACTGAGATCACCTTTGTGTGAGCTCTGTTTCTCTTTTAGACGGGATCAATTTTGTGTAGCCCAGGGTGGCCTTGAACTCTCAGAGATCTGTCTGCCTCTGGCTCCCAAGTGCTGGGATTAAAGGTGTGTGCCACTACTGCCTGGCCTCTGTGGCTGACTACTGTGGCTAGCAGGCCATGATTCCTGGGGGTGAGGGGCAGGACCAGGTTGAAGGCTCTACTGTGCCCCCCCTTAGCTGCTGTGATATCAACTGGTTCCTCATTTCTCCCCTTTCTGGATGGAATAGGAGGGACCCCTGTACCCCAGAGTACTACTTGTTCCTTAGGATCCCCAACTCAGGTCTCCATTCACAGAACAGGGTGTCCTCGTATTAAATGCCCCAGAGACCTCCACTTATCCTTCCCTCGCTGGATTGGACAGCAGTGCCCCTCCCCCCACCTCCCTCCAACTGTGCCCAGTGACCCCTGGCTTCTAGAAAGCCCTGCCCACCCCTTTCCTCACTGGACAGGACAGCAGAGCCCACCGCCTGGTACCCACCCAGAACCACATGCTCCCCAGGGGCCCCCCACTCACCCAGGCTGCCGGTGCAGAGGCAGTTGTGGGTCCGAGGCTGGGGCTTGGTCTGGTGGCTGTCGAGGATTTGCTGTACCAGCTGCTCCACTGAGAAGCCCGAGCTGCTGTTCCCATTGCTGCAGGTCCACTTGATCCCATGGACTAGAGAGAGAGAGAGAGAGAGAGAGAGAGAGAGAAGCAGAGGTGTGTCAGGAGCTGCTGCTGTTGGGGCTGGCTGTCCTGGGGGGGGTTGGTTCGAGGCTTTCTGAAAGCCCAGCATGCTGGGAGGCAGCCTCTAGGACCGATTTGGGAGACCAAGCTAGTAGTCACCAGAGTGTCTGCTCTTTTAGGAGCTCTGATCTCTTCCTTGCTTCCCTGACTTTGCTGAACGGAGGAGGGGGGTCTGGGGGAGTAGTTTTCACTTCTATTTCTCCCAAAGTCAAAGGCACTGAGACGGCTCTCTAGGTGGGGGGGGGCTCCCAAGAGAAGGTAAGAAACAAGGACGTGGAGACAGGAAGTTTGAACATGTCCGGAGACGGTTTAAGTCTTTGCGCAGACCCATAGGGCAGAAGCGGGAGGGTTCCGTGAGCAGGAGGGCTGGGGAGCATGAGTGGAGGGGGCTCTCCCCCTACGGGGAGACTTCAGCTTCCTACCCCTCCCTTCCCACACGTCCCTACTCCCAAGGGGATCTCAAGAGAGGCTGGAGTGGGAAACAGGACCGATAGGCCCATGACCCCGAGTGTAGGCGACTCAGACCCAGTTCTGACAACCCAGCATCCTTACAACTGCTCCGGGTTTTGGCTCACTCCTTGGGTGTCTGCAGACCCTGGGGTTGGGGTGAAGAGCCCAGAAAAGAGGTTTCCACCTGCCTGGCAGGATGAGGCTGGCCAGACCCCTAAGACAGACGGACGTGCCCTGTCGAGTGTGTGGAGGGAGCAGGCCCTGCGAGAGTGAGTGGAGCCCCCAGTGGGTGCACGGCTCCACCCACTCTGGTGTCTCAGACAGTGGGTCCACAGCACTGGGGCTCCAGGAGGCAGGTGAGTGCCCACGAGGAAACGGCAGAGAGGTGGCTGTCTAGCGTGGGGACGCCCGAAGGGCTCCAGAGTGCAGCTGTAGCGGTGTCTAAGCTGTAGGACAGGGGGGAGTCGGGCCAGGCTCGCACCTGGGTTTGAGGCAGGGGCCGGATCTCCTGTGAACCCAGGGTGCATTAGTTTGCCTCTCTGAGCCTGCCTCCTTGTCTGCAAGGTTAAAGCGGGAATCCACTAGGGCGGGCCTCGCCAGCCAGCCAGGAGGGAGGCCCATCTTACGCTGTTGCGCAAACTGAACAAAGACTAGCATTGTCACAGCTGTTAGCGGTGAGGACCGTGGTGACGGTGACACGGACGAAGGGGGCGTGGCAGCCGGGGGCCTTGGATGTGCCTGTGGACGGAAGCTTCCGGCAACTCAGTCTCCCAGAGCCCTTGAGGACCCCGCAGGTGGCCATTCGCCTGGAGTCTCCTTTCCTCATCAAGACAAGAAGCCAGGGCTGTGGCTGCGCTCTGGTGGGCGTTTCTCCCAGCCGCCTTCCTTTTGGGCCCCTCTTGCCCTCATGGCCAGGTGAGGGTCATCTTCCTCGCCCTTTGCTGCTCTGAGAGTCTCCAGGGGCTCGCCTCCAGAATCTTCTGATGTCCCCAGTGAGTTCCAGCTTCTGGTGGGTCAGAGATGGTGAGACGAGGTGTCCTTTGCTGCTGGTCTGCCTGTCTGCCCAGCCTTGGAGATGGCCCGCCTGTTCAGAGCCGTACGGAGCACACCTGTGCAGCAAGATGTTCGTGGTCCACCCTGCCGCAGGTGGGGGAAGGGGGCTCTGTCCTTGGGTTCCCTGTGTGTGGCAATGGGAATCCCCACAGATCCTGGAGGCTTTAGATCTTGTTAATTAAACCCTTTTGGGTTTCTTCTTTCTGAGCATCATGTCCCTGGGATGTTTCCAGAGGCTGGAAGGTATGGCCCAGGCCAGGGTTGCCACGCCTTACCGCAATTGTAGAATTTCCTTTTCAGATTATCCTCTCTCTGGAGTCCCAGCGCACAGGCTGGACAGCAGCAAGAGGATCCTGGGCATGGGCCGGACCAGATTCATTTCACAGATGAGGAAACAGGCTTGGGGAGGGGGGCGGGATGACAGTACATATCAGCCAGGAGCTTGAGGTAACACAGGAACTCTCCCGCTCCCCGGAGTGTGTAACAGCCTATACCAGCTGCATGTCCCCTCTGCTGTACCAAGAACTTGATATTGTGGGACTGGTGTCTCAGGAATGTTTTAAAACTCCCACAGTGTGTGTGTGTGTGTGTGTGTGTGTGTGTGTGTGTGTGTGTGTGTGTGTGTATGTGCCTGTGTGCGCCTGTGTGTCTGTGTGTGTGTGCATGTGTGTGTCTTTGTGTGTTGTGTGTATCCTTAAATGTCATCACGATAGAACACATAACGTCATCCTGACCCCCAGTAAGGGGTTCAAGGCCAGGAAGGAGGTCTTGCATCGGAGTATCCACTATGGGAACCTGGAGCAGGTGCCAGCTGCAAAGCCATGTTCTTTGGGGACCCCCCCCCCATGTACTTGAATTTGGCTCCCTAGAGAGATGAGTGTTCTCAGGGAAACTCCATAGCTGGCTTCCAGTCACATGTCAGTCCTGGGTCATGCTTGGGTCGGGTGGGCTTGCTAAGCCCCCTGGGGCTGGTGGCACCTTCCTGAGTCTCTCAGTGGCTCCACGTTCTTCCCCCTGCTGCATACCTCCCCCTCCCTGCCTCTTGCTTTCTTCCTTATGTTGTGAAAGTTATAAAATGAAACCCGGCGGAGGGTGACAGATTGCAAGCAGCGAATTTCTGGACGCTTAATGCAAATTACCTAGTGTCTTGGTATATCCAATATGCAGAATGTCTCCCTCCTCCGTCTGGGAGAGGGGGAGGGAGAAAAGCCCCCTCCTTCGGGGTGGGGAGCCGCTAGTACCGAATATCAAATACGATCAAGACAGCTTTTAACATGTCATGCTCGGCTTCCCAACACGTAATGAATCAGTGGGAAAGGAGATTTCCACTGCGGAGGGAAAAAAAATGTGTTTTGAAAGGAAGGTTCATAGACGCACAGGACACTTGTCACTCACCACCCCTGCCCAAGGCCTACACCTTCGCAGTGGCAGCAACAAAAGGAAACTCAGGAAGTGCCCTCCATCAAATGCAAGGTCACAATGGGGCACAGCGAGGGAAAGAAAGGAAGGGGGGGGGGGAAATAGCCCTGCTGGCTCTGGATCACACCCACTGCCTCCTGGCCACTTTTTGTTCCTCCTGGCTCAGGAAGACGCACCAGCTTGATAAATAACGTCAGGCAGAGGGACCCTCTTCAGTCCTCCTGAGTGGTGGGCGCTGGCCTGGTCAAGAGGTAGCGGAGAACCCGAGTCCCCAGGAAGGCAGGGGCAGGAAATATCAAAGAGGGAGCAAGACAGGCCTGGGACGGGTAAACCGGCCCTAGTACAGGCCTTCCCAGGACAGGGACAGCAGGGAGACCACACTGGCCCTTGGCCACACACTCTATCTTGCGGCTTCCTGCTGAGTGTTCTGGGGGGCCCTGGGCTGCCTGTGGGCAGAGATGCAGCTGGGAGTGACTGCCAGAGACACCCATTACCTTACACCATTGCTGACTCGGCAGACAGACCAGAAGTGCTGGGATGCAGAGAGAAGCCATGTGAGGTCACAGCAGGACTGTGTACAGCATTATTAAGGGGCCAGAAGCCAACCTCAAAGTCACCTTGACTGTGGCTTTCCAGAGTCCCCAGAACTGGGAACAGCAGGTTTCCTGGGTACACACCCCAGTCAGCAGTGCTTACTGGGAGGAGCTGGGGGAACAGGGAGGATCTGGGAGAGCAGGAAGTGTAGGGGGTAGATAGGAGAGCAGGGAGGGTAGGGAGAACTGGGGGGACAGGGGGAGTAGAGAGAATCTGGAGGTAGGGAGAAGCTGGGGGTAGGGAGGAGCTGGGAGAGCAGAAGAACAGGAGGGAATGGGGGAGCAGAGGACGGCGGGCAGGTAGGTGCTCCTGGAAACCCTCCAGCAAGCAGAGGGAGGGGAGAATGAGCTCCTCATCAGGTCTGGAGATTCAGCCACAGCCCAGGTACTAGGAGGGGCAGCTTGGCCTCCATAGTATCAGGTCAAGGGCCAGCATAGGGAAGCATACAAAAGAGATCTGTACAGAGGAGGGGCTTGCGGGCTGGCTTTACCAGGGATTCGGAAGGGGGGCTAAGGCCCCCATGACACACCTGGACCTTGGTCCTGTCCTCCTCACCGGGGATTCCGGCCACTGAGCTGAGATGGTGGTGTGTATACACCAGCGGATGTTCATTCTGGCTTGATGGGCCTATGTTGTGAGAGGAGGGTGCTGGGACTCGGAGCGCAAGGGAGGCAGCCTCGGTGTGGCCACAGCTCCTTGCTTGTGTTCCCCGGAAGAGATTTTCTGCCTCAGCTCTCTCCTTTGTGAATGTGCCTGTCACGACACTTCCCCTGATTCCCCGCCATTCCTCAAGGGGCTTTAAAGGACACGGCGGTAAGGGGGGATTCTGATTTGGTGTCAGAGGGACTTCTGCTGTGATAATTCGGTCCAGGGAGACCTTGGGAAGGAGCAGGACAGTGGAAGGAAGGGGAGTCCTTCAGCCCCAGCGGTCACTGTGTCTCTGGAAGGTTGACAGGGCAGGTGTGTCAGCTCTGATCACAGTGATGGCGTGTGTGCGTGCACCCGCGAGAATCCGCGTCGGGCCCCTTTGTCTTCCCCGGGAAGAGACCCTTGCACTGTGACAAAGAGGTGACAAGTGGCAGTGCCGTTGTCCCAGTGTCTTCACCCTAGGGGTTGTGGGGTTGGCCCCTCTCTTCCTCCTCTTCTGTCTGAGCTCATCTGTACCCACACGAGAAACCCTCGGCAAGGGTGACCATTTGTTTAACTTGTCATACTAACCAGGTCACCTTGGACACAGACAAGGTAGTCATTTATTCAGGTGTAAACCGGGACACTCCCAGGCAAGTCTGGGCATGGGGTCACCCTACTTCCCAGCCACATGACAGAGCCAGCTGGAGACGGAGCCCACTGCTGCGCCTAGGGGAAATGAGCCCCTTTGGAGTTGTTGATGCTGGAAGGCTGTCACCATAGCAACAAGGTCAATGGGAACCGGCAGCCGTGCGTAGGCTTAATTCTCACTGTATCCCTGTCGACAGGGATAAAGGCCCTACTTTTCTGATTTCTTGGTTCAGCCAGATGAAGTTTTCATTAGATTCAACTTCTCACATCCAGACACCCACGTGCTGTTCCGATCTCCATCCCGTCAGTTTCCACAGTCCCATTTCGGGAGGCACTGCCGAGGTTGGGAGGGCTGGGGTGCACAAGGCCCCTCTGGCTGCAGGGTCTCAGCTAACCATGAATGCTGGTTCTTGCTGTCCAGATACGGGGTGCTGGGACCCCATGTTTACTGGAGGCCTGGACTTCATGCCGTGTCATGCCTCCCCAGGAGCTGCTGAGCGGAGAACTTACAGCAGCCACACTGCTTCAGATGGTGGTGAGGAGTTGGGACCCTTGGGTCAGGACATCTACACCATGTGGGAACAGCATGGCCTTGGCTTCTGAATTTGGCCTCTAGGGAAACCTTAAAGGCCCAGGACGACTGAAAAGTGGCCTCGGATGGGTAAGCCTTAGACTCTCCTCCTTTCACCTTCCGATTGGATGGGGATTTCCTTCACAGCAGTAGTGAATGTGCTGGAAACGCCCACTTACTGGCAATGTTGGAAGACCAATTTGGCAGGGGCAGAGTCTCTATTGGTGGCTGGCTTCAGACTGTGGGTCACAGGCCCTTCCACCTCTCCAGGGACGAGCCGGCAGGGGAAGGTGCAGGTGTAAATGCCTGGGTGTCTAGTCTTTCTGGGCCACTTGAAATTAGGGACAGGAGACCCCTTCCAGATATTTAGATGACTGGTTTCCTTTAGGGGAAACCACCTCTTTCTTTCTTTCTTTCTTTCTTTCTTTCTTTCTTTCTTTCTTTCTTTCTTTCTTTCTTTTTTTTTGTTGTTTTTTGAGATAGGATTTCTCTGTGTAGCTCAGGCTGTCCTGGAACTCACAGAAGAGATATGTCTGCCTTTGGAGTGCTGGGATTAAAAGTGTGCTCCACCACTGCCCAACAGGAAACCCCCTCTTAACTCCCAGTTACGTGCTCAATCAGGGATCTTGATTTTTAAAAGAGATTTAAAATCCGGGGAGCTTGAGCATGCCACATTTCTCTGGACCATCTCCTCTGACAAGCTGATCTCCCAGTCGGAATCTGACCCATGACAGTCAGGCCCAGGCCAGGGTGAGAACACTCCACAAAAGTTTGCTGAACTGAGCTGGTGATGGGGAGGATAAAGCCAGGAGGGACTTTTGGAACAGCTGGGGGTACAAGAACCCAGGAAGCCCTGGGGAACGACAGGCTAGGGACAGGCAGGGATTCAGAAGCGTTTTCCTCCTGGGGGACTTTGTGGCTCTGTAGCATCTGGGGGGGGGTAAGGGGAGCCTAAGGAACCTGACTCTGTGCCAGGCTGGAAGACAGCCACAGTGCATTAGAGTGAGGCGTTCCCAAGAATATGGCTGGGCAGAGCAGGGCTCAACCCATCTGAGGTTCCAGGGACAGTGGCTCTTAACCCAGGCACAACACAGTGCCCAGGGAATCCTCTCCAGGTCCTTCAGGACAGTCATTGCTTCCCCAGCCTCCCAGGTCCTGAAGCTGCAGCAGGATACAAGACTTCTGCCCCTAAGGACAGAGCTGCTATCTTGGCCCTGGGGACAAAGACGGTCTCCCTTGTATTTGTAGGATCCGTACTCAGGACTTTCCTTCAGTTCCAGTGTTCTAGCAAGACCCCACTGGGTCATCTGGGTCTGGTGGCGTAGGCCTGAAATTCAAGCCACCCAGGAGGCTGAGGTGTGAGGACCACAAAGACTGGCCTGGGAAGCCTAGTGAAATCCCGTCTCAGAACAGAAAGCAGAGAGGGCCTTAGCACTGCGGTTCGGACATGGGCGAGGCCCTGTGTTCGTTCCCCAGCCCCATGCCTTCCACAGGATCACGCCTCCTGCTGGTACCAAGACCCAGACTGCAACCCCAGAAAATGTCTAGAGTGGCAGCTCTTAATTCAGAGTCTAGGGAGCAACTTCGATCGGGGACACCCAGAATCCAGGCCTCCATCTTCAGGACATCTTGATAAATCTTCAACCCCATCTCTCTGTCATCCCAGGAGGTCCAAGGGTGAGGGTGCTGGCCTAGCTCTTCAGAGAGAGCCTTGGCTTTGCCTCTCCCTGGTTTCTGATTCTAGAAAACACAGGCCTGGAAATCCCAGTCTGAGAATGGTATGTAAAACACCAGAGTCCTGTGGCTAGCTTCCCCCAGGGAATCAGAACACAGCAGGACAGGGCCCAGAGCCTGCCTCCTGAGACCTGCCCAGTTTCTTCAGGGACTCCCTGCTCCTGCCTCTGATTACTCCCTGCTCACAGCAGCGTGGACACTCACAGCAGCGTGGGCGCTCACAGCAGCGTGGGCACTCACAGCAGCGTGGGCGCTCACAGCAGCGTGGGGACTCCGGCTTACACCTGATTTAAGGGTCCCTCACTCCTATCCCGGAGGTCTTCCTCCACTGCAGGGATCCTTCCAGGCAACAGTCCGTCTGAGGCTGATACCTGACTCTCTGCTCTTCTCATGACTACACTTTCACCCACTGGGCAGTTGCCTTGCCACTTCCAAGGCCAGCCACCCTCCCTCCCCAGGCTCTGCTCAGACAATCCCCCCAGGAAGGCTAGGCACATCCTGGAGGTGCTCTGCTACCACTGGCCACCAGGTGGCGCTAATTGACCAGGAAACGGGTCCAGAAGGGCCAGGAAAGAAGCGCCTTTGTTGATTTTATCTCTTGATATTCCATAATCACCAGGATTACAATCTAAGCAAAAAAAAAAAAAAAAAAAAAAGAGCAAAACAAATAAACGCAGCCCCCTCCCTTACCCCATCTGTCTTTGTTTGAAAAATCACGAGGAAACACGACACTTTGAATATATACCGCCCCCGAGGCTCAGTGGCTGGCACCAGTGAGCTCCCTGAAACAGTTGGGAAGAGGCACCGGGACTGGGGGATTGGGTGGCAGAGAAGCTGGGTGAGGAGTTCCCGGGATAGGCAGGCACCCTTAGGTACCGCTCCTTCTCTTCTTTGCCCCTGAAGCTGTGGCTTTGCAATGTGGGGTCCCTGTCTGCAGTCTCCCCGGCCCATGCCGGCCGCCCTGGGGCTGGAAAAGGCCCACGGCTGAGTGTGCAGCAAAGACTGAAGAGTCAAGGCACCCAAGGGCTGCTGGGAGCGATATCAGCGCCCCGGAACCGTCTTCACCACGGCCATCACCCTTTGCTTGGGGGGGGGGCTTCTCCCTGCAGTGCTTACGGGGGCTTCTCCCTGCAGTGCTTACGGGGGCTTCACCCTGCAGTGCTTACGGGGGCTTCACCCTGCAGTGCTTACGGGGGCTTCTCCATGCAGTGCTTACGGGGGCTTCTCCCTGCAGTGCTTACGGGGGCTTCTCCCTGCAGTGCTTACGGGGGCTTCTCCCTGCAGTGCTTACGGGGGCTTCTCCCTGCAGTGCTTACGGGGGCTTCACCCTGCAGGCATCGCGGTCCCAGCCCACGCTCACCACGCCTCCACATCACACACATCATGGTTTTCCTCGCCCTCGTGCTCAGCATGCCCTGGTCTCCTCGCTCTCAGCGTGGTCTCCACCCCACCCCCCCCACTCAACACGGTGTCCATGTCTACGCCTAACGCGGACTCTTACTCCACGTTCAACACGACATCCGTTCCTGCAAGTTCAACGTGGTCTCCGCTCCCGTGGTCACACGCATTTTGGTCTCTCACATGGAACATGTACATTCGGCTCAGCCCGCACCCCCGACCCCACCCCCACAGTTGTCGGGGCCTCTCTGACCCCAAATTCAGGAGGTCCCCAACACTTCTCACTCGACCAGGCCTGCGGGCCTCGGTCCTGACACCATCCCATCGGCACCACATCTGGCCTTGACTCATCTCTGCTTCCTTTCTGCTGCTCCACATGGACTGTCTGGGATACCCCATGGTCTTCCGCGTGCCCCAGATCCCATTCTGTCCTCCTGGATGGGGGCCTGGGGCCCCTGGAACACGGGCATCCTCCTTGATCTCTCTGTCCGGTTTACACTCCTGCGATGCTTTCTGGGTAGGTTTGACTTCCCAGGGCCTCCTCCTGCCTGGCTCCTTCCCAAAGCCCAGGGCCGCATGGGTCTCAGTGGTCCCAATCTGGCTGGAGGAGGGCAGGAGATGCCCAGGTGGCCTTCGGGCGTCCTTGCCGGGCACACAGGGGGTTGTGAGCTGAGGACCTGGCTGCCAGAGGGTGCTGCTCTGGGCTTTGGTCTGGTTTTACTCCTAGCTGCTGTTAGTATCCTAATCATTTGACATCTGTGATGTCATTTCAGGGCCACAGGGACCCGTGGAGGCAAGGCCGACTGTCATGCCTTCCCAGGGAAGAGAGCAGGGCTTCCCAGAAAGCTCAGGTGTCTTGGCCAAGACTGGGAAAGGGGAAGCTGACTCCATACAGATCAATGCCCCCATGCTCACTTTCCCGCCTCCATGCTCTGCTGGGAATCCTTTCACACGGCTTTCCCTTGTCATCACGGCCACCTAGAGCCAGAGTCACTTCTCAGGTTCATGTCCCGTGGCTGGTGTACCAGAGTACCCTTGGCCTTGACTCCTGGGCCAGGAGGTGGGGTTGTTCTGGGAGAAAGTTTCAGAGGTTGTGGAGTCAGGAACCCAAGCCACCTCCTTACTGAGCTCGGGTGTGTGTCCCTGCTTATGTGTGTCCAAGGTGGCAGGGATGCTGTATGCATGCGGGTTTCTATGTGTGCAGGTGCGCATGGCATTATGGGGCATGCAGGAGTAGTGGGATATCAGGTGGTTGCTGTCCCAGGCTAGGCGACTTTCCCACTTGGCCTTCCTTTTGAGGCTGAAGACACCTGCCATGGCCATCTAAGGACCCAGAGTGACATGTGGGGGGTTCCCAGAAGACAGTTGGGCAGAACCAAAGTTGGGCTGGCTGAAGGCTGGAACCATCTAATGCTTTCTGGAGTGGAGGAGACCCGCAGAAAGCTCAGGCCTCGCTCATCTTTGCGAGGCCGTCGGACACCATCCAGGGTGCTCCAAAAGGAGTCCAAAGGCAGGGAGAGCCGGGCGTGGCTGTTGCTCAGGCAAGGGCCGGGAACACTGTAAAAACCCTTGCCCATCACTCTGGCTGCTAGCTGGGGAGAAGTTGGCATGCTCTTCCCGGATGGACAGCCAGGAAGTGGGGCAGGGCAAAAAGCCATGGGTGCCCTATGGGAACCAGTTTTATCTGGCTCCCTGTTGGATCACAGAAGCTGAGTGCAAAATTTAGATCATGGTGGTGATGGCTTTGGGCCACTGAACAAATTTCCCAGCAAGCTGGAAGGACCAAGAGCCAACGCCTTGCCTGCAGTCCAGCCACCCCCCCCAGTCAAAAGCGTCCCTCAGAACAGCTGTAAGGGAGTAGACCCCAGGACTTCCAGGATGTGACAGACTGTATGCAGATGGGCTCCATTCTCCCCACTCCAGACAGGACCCCGGACAGTCGTCCCCAGACTTTGGCCTGAGATGAGCAGTTCTGCATACCGTAGGCCAGCAAAGCTGAAGCCCACAGGGCACTCAGGCAGACTTCACACGCGGAGACTCATTTCCCCAAACACGCCCAGCAGAACACCGTACTGCCTCGATGCCTGCCCAACCAGGGGCGATTACAGGACAAAATTTTTCCCATTAACACTTGAGTAGAAAGGATGTATACTATCCTGGGGTCTACACTTAAAGGGAAGAGGCTTGCTCTCCCTCCCTCCTTCCTCCTTCGACTGGAATGCAGCTGTGATGGCAAAGGCTGCAGCAACCGTCTTTAATCTGCAAACGTGGGCAGCGTCCTGTAAGTGGTAGAGCCACGGTGGCCAACCAGATGCTGGGGACCGCCATGTCAGCCCTGGACTGTGAAACTTGTGAGAGTGACAGAGAGAGAGAGAGAGAGAGAGAGAGAGAGAGAGAGAGAGAGAGAGAGAGAGAGAGAGAGAGAGAGAGAGAGAGAGAGAGAAAGAGAGAAAGAGAGACAGAGACAGAGACAGAGAGACAGAGACAGAGAGAGACATAGACAGAGACAGAGACAGAGAGAGAGAATGACAGAGAGAGAGACAGACAGAGAGAGAGACAGACAGAGAGAGAGTGACAGAGAGAGACAGACAGAGAGACAGAGAGACAGAGAGAGAGAGAGATTTCTTTTTCTTTTTTTAAATTTAAGCCACTGTTATTTGGCAAGAAGGGATTATAAGAGCCAGGAAAGCTCTTCGGAAGCCTGTTGGGAATTCAATCAGACATCTTAATTTTCCCTCTGTGTTTACTCTCTCTGTGTGGACTCTTCAGACTGCAGGTGCAGGGAAGGCCTCTTAGTCCAAAGAATCAGATGCACAAGGAGCCCCTCTCCTCCCTGGAGGCGGGCGCAACAGAGACCGTGTGCGGACAGAGGAGGCCTTATACCACCAATCAGTGTCATGTTCTGATTAAGCTGTTGACAACTCTGATGGGCAGAGAGATGGGGAAACATCAGGGCATCAAGCTGGGAAGTCTTTGAAGGAATGTGATTTATGAAGCTAATGTCTTTGGCTCCAGCATTCATGGCATGCCTATTCTGGAAGCCATCTGATGGCTTCTTGGCTCTCAGCACACGGTGCTTTTCCCTGAACACTGCTGGCTGGCACCTGTGCGCCGTCCAAGTCTGATCCGCAGCTAGGCACTTATGGGGGCTGTGTTTCCAAGCGTTGGTCCCCAGGCGGAGCCTGCCTGCATGGCACAGTTTGGGACAGGCACACCAGTTCCTTGAGTGCTGTGACCTCTTGGTCTCCCTCATGTGGTGTTATGTAACTACATTGATTCACTGCAGGCTCTGAACAATCGTTCACCATTCCTTCTGGTTAAACCTTAGAAGCCAAATCAAGTCTCCTTTTTGCCCTCTGGAGTTTAGGAGCCTGAGCCTCCTGCCCGTCCTGGAGATGGCACCCTTGCATGGCCCTGATGGCTTCAGGTAGAAGCTGTGTGCGTTTGGTGATGAAGCCCTAGGCAGAGACCCTGAGCGTTAGGGTCTGCCTGGCAGATATGGTTTTCCCTGGTAGCCTGTCCCGGGTGTGTTTCTGGCACACGCAATCTCTGACACTTCTGCCAGGACACAGTCATCTGCTTCCCGGTGCCTGGCTGGAGTCTCTCATCGGCAAACAGGCCCTAATTTGCCAGTGGCACATGGTGTGTAGAACTCTTTCCAGTGACCCAGAAGACAACTAGGACTGTTCCAGAGAGGAGGAAGCAATGTGCTCCTGCTACCCAGGCTTTGGGGCAAGGAGCCCCCTTAGACAGAACACCGAGGCTGTGGGCCAGCGGCAGAAGCATTTGGACTCTGGCCACCCTTTCAAGTCAAGAGTCCTCCCTAGGGTCTTTCTGGAAGTGATAACTAAGTGACAGGAAGAAGGCAGAGATTTAGGAAGCCGACCCTCTCTGTCTTCTCCGATTGCTGGCCCTCTCTGAATAAAGCGGTGCTAATTCTCGCCTCTGCTGGTTTATGTCTGTGAATGACAGGAGCCAGAACCAAATTCCAGTTTCAAGGCGGCCATAGAACCAGGACAGCGGTTAGTCTCCTGAGTCCCAGCTCGGGCTCCTCCTACTGTCTGGCCTGGTGGCACCAGAGTATGCCCTGGGCAGAGTCCCTGCCCCAGCTAATCCAAGGCATTGCCTAGGAGGAGGGACAAATAGGCCCAAGGCCCCCATGTGGGGTTGAGTAGGACCCCTGTCGGTGTTTGTTGACATCCCTTGTGGCCTTCTGGGCCCTGAATGAGAATTAGGAGGCCCTCCCCCCCGAAGCAGGGAACCTAAGAGCTGGCCCTGAGATGAGAGGGTACATTTGGGCAGCTTTAGCTTCCAAAGCCTGGATCGTGGAGGCGTGGCCTGTGGTCCTGCAGACACTGGACCAAAGCCAATACGGTTGCTTTCTGTCTACACCCCCAAAGCATTTCTGAATGCTAGCTGTACGCCAGGGTCTGTAGAATTGGGAAGAGGTGGTGTGGTCCGTCTGGGTTTATTTCTGTCTGATGCTCCCTGGAGTGGGGGGTTTTGAGGAGACCAGGGGGCCTTGGGGGATATGGGGTGAGCCTATGGGGAGGGGCTGAGTTCAGGGACCCGAAGTGGGGTAAATAAATGGAGTGGGGAGAGGCCGCAAGGCCTCAGGAAGCGTGCAGAGGTCTGAGGCGGGGGGCCCAGGGTGGAGCACTGTCCGCCATCATAGGAGAGCGGCACCAGGGGCTTCCGACTAGGGCAGACACAGTCAGAGCTGCAGCCAAGGGTGAAACCTGAATCCCGAAGGCCCCTGGTACAGTCCCTGTGGTACCAGATTCAGTACGGCTGTGCTCAGGCATCAGGGGATGCCCTGTCCTGAGGCCCAGCCTCAGGGTACACTCTTTGGGTCTTTCTCCAATACATAACATTTTGTCCCCAGTGACCCTCTCTGTCTGACTGAGCCCGGCTGGGAGGGGCAGGAGGTGGGGGATGTAGAACCTTCAGAAACAAGGCCCCTCACGAGGCTCCCTGGTCCCCTGGGCCGTCTGTCTCAGTGCCTCGCACCTGACAGATGCTGCCGAAAGCTCAGCTTTGCTGATGAGATGAAATCAACTCAGTCACTGAAAGCCATTTGCCACTCAGGCTGGGCACCGTGGCAGCCCAGGGACAGCAGGCTGCCTCCGTGTCCAGAGCCAGCACGGGCAGCCAAGGGTAGGAGCAGGGGCCAGCTCTACCACCCGCCGCCACACTTCCGTTCCCTGCCTTGCTCGCCGCGGCCCCCCCGCTCCTGTGCGGTGGCGGACACACTCTTGATCTCTCCCAGCTTACTCTGCCTTGCTGAGTCTTACCTTCTGAGTCTGAGGTACATGCGTGTCTGGGGCGGGGGCGGTGCATGCGTATGGAGGTCACAGGGCAACTTGGGAGGGTGCCCTCATCTGCTTCCCGCCCTTTTGCTTGAGGCAGAGTCTCTGACCGGCCTGGAACCTCACGAGCTAGGCTAGCTGGCTGGGGACCGTCACCTGTCACCTCACCGCCTCTGCCGTGGCCTGGCTTTTCGACACGAGCCCCAGGGACCTGGGTTCAGGTTCTGATGCTCGCAAGCCGGAACTCCACAGATTAAAGCCGGCTCCCTGACCCGGGTCTGAGAGTTTGTGCCTTGACTGCAGCAGTGTGGAAGCTTATAGGATCAAGCGACTGTAGGTATGGGGGTGGGGGTGACTGGGGATGTCATTAAAGCTAAATTCGAAGTCCCAGCACGGCACGCTGGGTCCCCCCCCAAGGCCCACCTGGGCGATGCTAGCTGGGGCCCAGGGAGGGGTACTCACACATGGGCTTCAGCTGCCCGATGAGCTCCTCCTTGGTCCACTTGGCCCACTCCTTCTTGTCGGTGTTGATGGAGCAGAGGATGGGCCCACAGGGCTTGCCGCAGTCCTCGATGGCTGGCACGTTCAGGTAGTGTACCAGCACGATGTCGGGGTTCTGTGGGGAGAGCAGACACTGGCACCGTGAGGGCACAGCAGGTGTAGATCGCCCCACACTGCCTGGCGGCACCGGCATTTTATGCTGGAGCCGGGTGACGGCACAGGACACCACTCTTAGGCGCCGCGTGGGATGCCGTTACCTTCCCTGGCCTCCATCCACCCTGTGCCGTTAAGCGCCCATCTTCATTGGGATGGCTGGGGAGGGCTGCTGGCTCTCTGGACCCTCAGGGGCCAAGTCACTCCTAAGGAGAACCTCAGGCCTACACAGTGGCTGAGGAGCATGCAGCCAAGGACCTCAACTGTGAGATGGAACTGTTGCCCTCCTCTCCTCCCCTCCTCCCTGCCCCGTGGGCATCAAGACCCCAGGCCAGCAACTGTCCCACACTGCTCAACCTTGATGCCTAATGAACATTTCCCAGTCACGGTCACCGAGGTCACTAATGTAGGCACCCAGGGGAAAGCAGCTTCAGATCTGCTTCTCCAGGCTTAGCCTCTGCCTGCAGCCCGGGACCATCCCCGGCGCGGACGGCACATAGCCCTTGTCACACCGTACCTCACCCAGCAGGTAACTGTCACCGGGGATCTCAGACACTCTTTCAATCCACTTTTTAGAGCTTAGGAACGGAGAGGGCTGCCAGCCCAAAGGCTTCAAGGACATTTGTTTCTAGAGGGTTCTATTTAAAGGGTCAGCCATACCCCCACCAGATTCAATCCAGGCACACAGGCGCCCCCTTTTGCCACCAGCAGCTCTAATGGTGACGCCGTGGGGTTTCTGAGCAGCTTTGCGGCAGCCTTCTCCCTGACTCTTGAAGGGAGAGGCTGTTTATTTGGTCACACCAGGCCTGAGAAACGAGTTAAGAACAACCGTGGCAGGTCAGGTGTGCTGTTGCACACCTGTGATGTCAGGTACAGGGCAGGAGGTGAAGCAGGAGAGTCAGGTCCAAGGTCATATACATACATACATGCATACATACACACACACACACACACACACACACACACACACACACACACACACATATATGGGGCCTACAGAGCAAGTTCAAGGCCGGCCTGGGCTACAAAAGACCCATGTCTCAAGCAACCGCCAGCCACCTCGCCAATCCAAACCGATTACTCCTCTCCACACGTGTTCCTGGACAAGCTTGCTCAACCCTTCTACCCTGACCAGAAGTGTTTCTTAAGCCACGCTCTCTTGCAGCTTTCTTAGGAAAATAGCCAAAACACAGAGGTGAACTCTGGAAAGCCCCGGGGTGGGTCCTCTCCGTGTGCTCTGCAGCCCTTACCCTCTGCTTACCCCAGACTCAAGTCCCAGGAACGGACAAGGTCCCCGGCAGAGGGAGGCCGAGTCCGTGCCTGCTGTTTTGGTTACATTCAGAGCAAGAGTAATAAATGAAAATATGAATCAATCAACTCATTAATAAATAAAGACTCAAGACTATACCATGACCACTGTGAGAAGGCAAACTGGCATAATTTAAAAAGATTTCCAATAAGTGTTGAAACGTGCTTTTTTTTCCCTGCCAACGCTCAGTTAACCAGGAAATTAAATCAACGTGAACAGGAGCCCCCTTGCTAATGGCAGCTTTTCTGGATTGTGGAAATCGCGCTCCTTAATAATAAGGATAATCCCTGCCACTGTGGGCCGATCCGTTCTTTTTAGAGTACTTCCACAATCATTATCTCATTTGGTGTCCATGCTAGCCAGGGAGACGGGCTGGCCAGGGCAGGGCACCCTCCCTCTGGAGAGGGGAACTCTGTGAAGTTGCTTGCCCAGAGCTCTGTGCCTGGCGAGGAACCCGCCTGGGCTGGGAGCCAGGGCTCTGACTTCAAACTCAGGTCCTGCCAAGACATCTGGTGGTTGCTTTTTGCTCAGCCTGACTGCTCTGCTACTCTTCATCTCACTTTATTCTTGCAATATGCCTGACAGGTGGGTGGGCCGTGTGGGTCTGCCATGCCTTCTGATTGGATGGGGTGGGCTGAAGGGATGCATACAGGGCGGTTCTCTAGAATCCTAGTCCCGAGTTCTGCCCGCCCTGAAGCCAGAGCTTGACTGGGGGTTCTTGCTGGACCCTGGGTCTGGCGAGGCAGCAGGCCTGCTGCTGAGCAAGAAGAGGAAAGATAAGAGGAGGGGTCAAAGGTCAGCAGGGACCAACTGGCCACCTGGGGCTTCCTCTGATCCCTTCCCTGGAGGGAGCTTGGCTCTGCAGGAGGGAGCTGGAATGCCGAATGCATGGGAGATGAAAAGCTGTGGCTCCTCTCCTGTCCCTACAGCCCACTGAGGTACAGTCTGGGTGCCTGAGACAGCCTGGGCATGACCCAGGGGAGATACAGTCTACCTCTTGTGAAGCCTGTGGACCCCCGCCTGCATCCTGGAGTTCCTGCATTCAGGCATCTGGAAAGTTCCCTGAGATTTGCCTGCTGCCCTCGGTGCATCCAGCCTTCACCTATCTTCAGGGCAGGTCCGGGATGCCCTCCTTCTCCAGGGCTTCCCTGGCCCCCCAGCGCTCAGTTTTTCTAAGGACTGGACAACTGACAAGCTGATTGGTTGTTCCCTTGTCTGGGTGTGGCTCTCTTCTCAGTACAAGGCCCTGGGATGTTATAACGCCCTGGCAATAACGGGCTCATTTCAGATTCGGAGACACGCACACAGGTCAAATTACGACTCTGACTCTTCCTCTTTCCAGACTTGAGGCCTGCTCAAGTCAGGCCCAGGAAAGGGTAGGGAGCAGTTCTGAATGTGGACACTAACATGCGAAGCTAATTCTTTCATCTCTATTGTCTGTCCGTCCGTCTGTCCATCAGTCCGTCTGTCCATCTATTCTATCGTTATCATCTATTTATCTTCTACTTATCTCTATCTATCTATCTATCCATCCATCCATCCATCATCCATCCATCATCCATCCCTCTTTGAATCAGTGTCTCACAGGATAGCCCAGGCTAACTCACTACGTAGCCTGTGTTGGCCTCAGAGTCACAGCAGCCTTTCTGCCTCCGCCTCATGAGGGTTG